CGGAGACATCAATACCTTTACTTCAATGGGCAGCCCTTCCAAAAAGAAGCGGCCCCGGAAGCGGCTCCTTCCTCTCCTTCTCTCCTTCAAGGTCACTTGCATGTAGATACCTAAGACTTGGTCGAAAGCTCTCTTGTAGCAAAGGCGTTCTAAGAGTGCTAGCATACAACCGGGTAAGTACAAGCAATGTGTGTTGTATGGATGTCGATAACCCTTGACTAGCCGCATACTAGATCGGACTAGCTATGAGGCAAGCATTGATTTAACCAATAAAGTACCGATTTATATGGTTAACACCGAGTACCGAACTCGAGTGGGTTTAGCTATATTTCGTGAACCCCGGATTTAAACAATTCCGAATTGAAGCCAAATCGACGGACGGTTGGTGTGGATGCCTACATATCACGATCGGACCACCGTTCGATGATACCGAAATGAGGCTAAAAAGTGAATTGTTGTCCCAGCTACGCAGCTCTAATTGTGCTCATGGATACTAGGGGTAATGTAGGCCGCAATTCTTGTTGTAGTCGGAATCTGTCGCCCCCCTTGTGGTTGTCACAGCGGAGAGCAAACGGGCAAACCGCCACACATGGCTGTCCTGTCTACATGTAGCCTCGAACCATTGCATGAGCTCGGAATCGACATGCTACAGCGCCGAGACTGTACGTCATGACGGCTGTCGGGCCATATGCACTCGGTCGGATATCGCCTCGGAAGGTCAAAAATACTAGCTGCAAACAGCTTTGCAGACAAGTGAAAAATCGAAAATAGGTACTTGTACATGCTAGCTAGTACACAACGCGTCCAAGTGAGGGGGCCTGTTTTCGAGAGGTTCACTGACAGTGGGCTGTAATTTGCCCGCGAGTCGCGATCGGTTGCAAAAACGGGGCCTCAAATTTGTTGATCGAAATCTCAATACGGGTTTTCCGGGCACAGGCTGGTTATATGCAGGTTCTGGGTCTACGACGGTCCGTCGACGGTCGGGCAACGGTTGCGCAGCCGTTGCGCAGCCGTTGCCCGACCGTCGAGCAACAACTCCGCGACACTCTCAAAAGTGTCGCGACGGTGTTGCAACACTACCTCAGAAAAATGCCTCTAAATAGGGGCAAACAAGAAAATTACACCGCGTTTCAAATTCCCTTGAAGACACAGTCTCTACTTCGGGACTTGAGGAGCCTAGGACATTAGAAACATACTGTAACTTACAGGAAAGTGTGTCAACGAGGCGTTTTCAAATGGAATGGTGTCAATCTGCTTCGACAATAGGCTTAGCAGCCTTGAAAAAGTCCGGTCCCGCAAGGCCGGCGCGCGAGTTTGACATTGGCTTATTTCCTAGATTCGCAGCCTACGATGTAAAACTTGTAGTCTGTAAATTCAACTGGGCGGTCGGTTATATTGTTCGCGTATATATATCGAATGTCGAAAACGTACTTACAGTGTTGCGACAGTGTTGCAACGCTGTTGCAATGTTGTCGGGCAACTATTGCCCAACAGTTGGGCAACGGTTGCCCGACCGTCGCGACGGTGTCGCGGAACCCGAAAATGCGTATAACCAGCATGTGGGTAGGTCCAATCACAGTGAATTCACTCAAGGAGGTCTGGAGGTCCAAAATGGACCTCCGTTACGGTTGGAGTTTCCCACCTGTGAATTTGTTGCAACTCGGGCAATATGTTGCTAAGGTCCTCTAGTAGATCATACCAAAAATCCAGCTGTAAAATCGCGGCACAGCTCCTTATACGCTACAAACCCTAAAACCCTAAAAATTGCTGATTTGGACCATTTTCGAGTCTGGAGTGGTAAAATTTGCCTACCGCGCAAATTCGACTTTACGATTCCGCGTGCGGCGGAAAATTTTCCGGTTGCGTTGTGTAATCCATGCGGTATCCCCCCCATACCGGCGAAGGCGTCTCGACGAAGCTAGCAGGTCGCTCAACTCAATCGTTGCGGAGTGGACAAGCATCAGGGATAAAAAATCGTAGCAACGTAACAGGTCCTAGGCAAGAGGGTCTGGTGTAGGCAGACACCTTGAGCAGAACCAATCTCCCGTTGGCTTCTCTGTCAACGGTGGTCTGAGGCATCTCATGTGCCATCCCTCGTTGCACCTATCGCACAACAGCATGCGGTTCTTCCTCTAATCGGCCACTGCATCCCTGCAATTAAACTTGGCACTTCTGGTCCAAGTCTTCCAGCGCTAACACGGGATTCTGCCAAAGGTCAATGTTTGGATTGCGACATGGGGCACAGTTCTCTACATGCTCCCGAATCTGCTTCTTGTCACGTCCCTCGAGGACTAACCTGCCGCCACTGCCGACACTAATCACACGCGGAATCCGCCTACCAACTCTACGGTCCATGGAATCTGCCTTCTGACGCTTCAAGTACACCAAGTCGCCTGCCGCAAACCGACGAAGTTTCGGCGTGTGGTCCCCTGACCTCTTGTGCGCATAGTGCAGCGCATGTCTTTGTGTTGCGCTATCGCGAGGTTGTTAAAGGCTATTGGCATCTCCTCCCTAAAGAGTCGGGCGCGCTCCTCAACGACGGTTGCCCACACCTGCCGGGAGTCCAGATCCACCACGGTGTGCAACACGTCTCGTACACGGGCCCCGACGATGGGCCACCTGCCAAAGAGCAGGAAGTACGGTGAGTACCCTGCCAGAGATGCCTGGCGACTCATGCGGTAGCCCATGGCGATCCAGCACAAGAATCGGTCCCAATGATGTCTATCGGACTGGAGGTCGTACTTTCGACGCCCCTCTTTAGTGACTTGAACGATCCGTTCCGCCAGACCGTCAGCCTGCGGATGGTCGCGCGAAGTAATTATGTGGTCGATGAAAAGTTGTACAAGCAGCTCTGCGAACTCGCCAGCAAACTCATCACCCTGATCGGTAAGTATTTCGGCTGGAGCCCCATACCTAGTAAGCACGCCACGCAGCGCGGCAACAGTATGCTTTGACTCTTTTGTAGGAATAGGAACCAGCTCAATCCACTTCGAAAAGTGTTCGATCATTATTACCACGAATCGATTCCCGTCTGTGGAAACGAATGGCATCTTACACGGATCCACTCCCCAGCTGTAGAATATTCCCATGATGGGCAACGGTTTCAGCGTTGGGTCCTTGACCTCAAAACTGGCTTTGACCCTGTCGCATACTGTGCACTTGGCTACCTCAGCCCGCACGTCTGCAAACATGTTGACCCAGAAGTACGTAGGTGACAACAACGAGTAAGTTTTGCTCACTCCATAGTGCCCGACGTCAACATGGATCGCCTTTACCAGGTTGGCGCACTGCTCCGGCGGCAGCACAACCTTCAATCCAGTCCACTGGACACTCCTTGACCTGCAGGGGAAGTGCATTTTCTCAGCAGCTCGTTCAAGAAGTAATAACCCTTTGACATGCGCTGCACACGATCCTTCTCAGAAGCGCTTCGTCCCGGACCGTAGCTGCCTTCCTTTAGATAGTAGAGCGTCTCCAGGTCATGCCAGATGTCACGAGAAGCGGAGTTACTTCTAGGCGCTGCCATCAGTAAGTCGCCATCTCTCTCGGTGCCAGAAAACGGGTGCCAATGACGAAACCGAAGTGGCATTCGGACACCTAAAATCGAAACTTTGGAGCAACCTCGTGAAGTCAAGTGCGGTCAAACTATTGAGTAAATTGAACCAGAAACTGACGCGTGTCCAGTTGGTTTTGGAGAAAATCGGAGACTTGGTTTAGTAACCGTCTTCCAACTTGTACATCAGGGCTGTAATATTGACCGGTGGACACGGACCGAGCGGGTCTGAGCCCTGAGTCCGGCTGCTTTCAAGTAGTACCGGGCACATGCAGGGGCACGCGGGAAAGGACCACGGTCTCAATTTAGACACCGAGTACTGATGAGGCAAAAATTTCCGCACTCCCCGCTACTGGCTTGAAGTGCTCGGTCACCACTTTCAGTCCGTAGACCCAAAATTTGCAGGAAATAAGTGAATCCTAGGCAGCTTAAACGTTGTATTCTACGCCGCAAACGGCGGAATCGGTACATTGTATGTACCTGAGAACTACCGCAGCTGGCTACATTGGAGTTACCTAGGTACCGCAGACCCGACCGAAGGTACCTAGGTATACCTGCTACGAAGCGGTTGCTACCGCCTGGTGGAAGGCAGCACTACAGTATGTACCTTAAAACTACACTGACAGCAGGCTGCTCGGACTCCGCAGTCCTAGTAGTCAGTGTGCAGTGTTGTACCGTAGAGCGCGCGGTACGGTCGGGAGTCCAGACATACAGTACCGGGTACTAAGAATACACGTACCACGTTGGACTGAAGTACATACCGTAGGCGGTCGTACCGTGCAAAGCCGGCTACGGTACTGCTCGTACCCGTAACCGGGCGGCGGAACTGACAATTGAGAGGACACGCGTCAGCCTTAGCTTCAATTTACTCGAGAGTTTGGAAATTGCTAAAAACAGCGCGCGCGCCATAGACCAATCGGAACCGAGAATGAAAGTTTGGATTTCAGGTGTCCACTGGCAACTTCGGTTTCGTTATCAGTGAACGACCAGCTGTAAGTCCTGAGTTCCTGCAAGACTGGCGCCCTCGGAAGGGTGGACAGCTGGTGTAACGTTCTGGACCGTCCCATCTTGGCCACTACCCACTTCTGAACCAAACTGGCTAAATACGGGCTCTCCTCTGTTGCATAAAATCCTGCCAACGAAGCAAGGGGCCACAGAAATGGAGACAGGAACCTCAGGAAGCACGTGATCCATGCGTGCATCTGTTCCATCAGATTCATCTGGCAGAGGGTTTCGCGAAAGCCCGTATGCATCTCCCGACTTCAAACCAGCCCTATGCTCAATTTCGAAGTCATACTTAGACAGGATATGCGCCCATCGTGAGTGCATACCTGTGAGTTTCTCGTTCGTCATAAGCTACTTCAACGGCTCGTGGTCCGTTAGCAGCTTAAAGTGTCGCCCGTACAAGTAGGAACGGAAGTAGGACACCCCCCAGACTGCACCAAGGCACTCATCGGCCGGCCTGGTAGTTGGAGTAATTCCTCTCCGTCCTGTTGTTGCTCCTCGAGGCATAGGCAATGACGAACTCCCGTCCCTGGTCGTCCCTCTGAACGAGCACCGCGCCCAGTTCGACGACACTCCAATCTGTATGGAGTTCAAAAGGGCGTTTGTGATCAGGCCGTCTCAGAATCGGCGCTTCTGTGAACCTGATCTTTAGTGTCTCGAATGCTTGCTGACAAGCCTCCGACTAGCCCCAAGCTACGTCGTTCCGTAGAAGATTGTTCAGCGGTGCAGCGATTGTGCTGTAATGTTCAACGAACTTCATGTAATAGTTGAAAGTGTCCAGCACGGCCCTCAACTCAGGAACCTCTGTTGGAGATCGCATCATCACGATGGCCTCCACCTTGACCTGCATCGGGGCAGTCCCCCCAGGAACAACCCTGTGGCCAAGATACTCAACATCAGGTTCTGCACAGCGCATTTTCTTATGATGACACTTGATGTTTTTGTCCCTCAAACGCGTCAGTTCAGCCCTCAGATGCTTCAAGTGATCGTCAAAGCTTTTGGAAAAGACAATGACATCGTCAATAAAGCAACGCGCACAGTAACGTTCCCGACTCAGCACTTTGTCCATAACACGCTGAAAGAAGGGTGGCGCATTCTTCAGATCAAACGGCACAACTGTCCACTCATGCAACCCGTCAAGACACTAGAAAGCCCGTTTTACAACAGTCTTCCTCCGCGATGCAAATTTGATGATATCCCATACGCAAGTCCAAAGTGGTAAAAATACAGGAGTCCGCCAGCTCATCAAAATAATCCTCTGGTGTCGGCAAAGGGTAGTGGTCCTCGGGAGTTACCTTATTCAGAGCCCGAAAATCCACACACGGCCGTTTATCCGCCCAGTTTCCATGCACAACTTTTTTAGGAGGCCTTGTTACAAGAAACGCCCACTTAGATGTCGATTCTCTGATAAAACCAACAGACTTCCGTTCTTCCATTTGCTCAGTCAGGATTTCTTTCTCGTACTGAGACAACCTATATTGAGTCTTGAAGATTGGAGTCTCGTCTATGAGTGCAATCCGAAAGACCTCGTCCGCCATGACTCCAAATTCTGTGAAGTCATGAGCAAACACGTCTTGAAACTCATCCAACAAGTCAGTCAACTGTTCTTTCTGAACTGCTGTGAGATTTGGATTCATTGGGCACTTAATTAGGCCCTGCAGGTTCAAAGTTTACGGCTGGTTGTTCATCCTTGCTTGGAAGTGAAGTTGAATCAGAACTCTCACCTGGGTCGGGTGGAGGCCGTCCTTGGGCCACCTTGGCCGCGGCGGGGCTGTCCTCCTTCCCTGTGTTGGCCGTACCCGGCCGTGAAGTCACTCCCTCACTCAAAAGTTTTGAATTCTGCTCAGGGCGCAGACCAGTCCCCCCCCCAGCTTATTTTCTCCAGGAAAATCAGCTGCAATTTGAGGGTTGCGACTCACCCGTGTTATGCGACCGTCCCTGCCGGCTATTGTCAGGTCCTCCCTACTCACACTAAACACCTTTCGAGGAAAGGAAGCATCCCCCCCTAGTTGCGCCTAATCGCTACCAGACCGACCTCGAAACCGTCAGTTAGAGAGCAGACCCCGCTGAAAGGCAAAAGCACAGCCAAACAGAAAGGTCAACTGGAATATGTCTATGGAGGCACCAAGCAGCCGCAATCGCTCACCCTCATTTGGGGGTGCAGCCGAGTTGACGGTTGTCTCGCGCATGAAACCCATGGATCGCCCCCTCGCGCTCTGCTGCAGTCGGCTCCGTCATTCCCCCGCGGTCGGACCGCACGAGGCTCTGACCTGCAACGTAGGCATGCGACCCTCTGTAAGTGACGAAGGTGGCAAAAGCGCATAAGGGCTCTCCAACAACCTTGACAGCATGCGGACCCGGGGCTCTGCTGTGCTGCGCTCTGAGGGCCAACCGCCCTGGTCCTAGAACATCCTGCACTGTCTGTGTAGGTGACCGTGCCTCAAACCGTTTAGCCACCATTTCGTGAAGCAAGGTGGTTGGAATCAGGTTGGTCCAGATCCCACGGTACCGGTGGGCGTACGAACCCACTGCAACAGCATCAAAGGCACAGCCCTGACCGAGGACTCCCTTGACCACCTCGTTGAACTCCTGGCGCACCTGGAGGTCTGGGTGACTTGATGCATCAACATTCTCAAACAACCACGCACAGTTTCCTTGGTGGCGAATGATCCTGTGTACCAACCGAACCACGTCAACGAAGACGGCGGTGCGTGGGTCTCGAAGGCCTTTGGCCGTCCCCGACGCCCGCGAGAATCCCTGGCAGGGAAACCCACAAACTACCAAGTCAAGAGGTCCCAGCGCAATGATGTGACTTTGATTGATCAGCTTGACGTCCTGTGGCAGCAACCCAAAGCAGTTCTCGAACGCAGACTCGGCCGAGAGGTTGGGGAAGATCCCGCTCAACGTCTTCAACCTAGCCATCGCAACCGCCCGAGCTGTCTGGTCGCTCTCGCAGCAGTGAAGCTGCTTGATTTTGATTCCCATGCGAATCAGCGCCTCTGTAGACGCCATAATGCCCGCGCACAACTAAACAACAACCAAACCAGACTCCGCAGACTCACTAAAGACGCCCACAATGTCCTAGTTAAGAGGCCGAAGGTTGGTGTACTCTGCAAGCGTAATAGGAGGTGGGGTTGCCTCTTTTTGCCGCAGAGCCATCACGGACTCATCAAAGGACAGATCGAGTTCCTCCAGAAGCCGCTTCCTGTACGTGTAGTACTGGAAGTTTGCATGCTGCATATCAGGCTTTAACACTGGAGTGGCCATTTGTGGCATGACGCTTGCCACGCGCGCATCCACCACCACGGCTTCCTTTGCGATCTTGGACGACAGGGGTGCGGCACGGTACAGCATTTCAAATACAGCAGGTATCCGCACAGAAGTTGTTCCCCGTGTCTTCCAGTCCTTGTAGTACTTCATCTTGCCTTTGTAGGCATTCACAGTGAGTCCGACCTTCCCAATCACACTCATTCCGAGCAGCACATTGTCATTGTCTCCTGGTGTGACAACCACATATGCACCAACAGTGGTTTCACCCGCCGTGCCTGGGTTAAGCACAACCGGAATTCGCTCTAAGGATCGGTTAAAAGGCGCAGTGACCCGTTCATCTGCACACCGCAGCGCAACAGCGCCTTTCTGCATCATGCTGGGCTTGATTCCTGCTTGTCTAGCCGCTCCCCTGGCCATGACAATCATTTCACACCCCGTATCAACCACCAGGTGCTGAAGCACCTTGCCGTTTATCGTACAAGCAATTAGCCGTCGGGGGTTACTGTTGTCCAGTCTTGGGGCTTTGTGGACTTCCAAAAACCTGTCTGCGGTAAAACTAGCAAGCAATGATCCCAACAGCGCACTCAAACCAAGAGAGGAGACGTCACAGAACTCCACCACAGTGGGCACTCCTGCAACTTGGAGCGCATTCTGCGGGGCTGGCGCCCGCCGCTCACTCTAAAAAGATTCTACCACGTTGTCCCAGAACAGGTCGAACTTGCTGTCCCCTTTGCAGTCAAACAACACGCCATCGTTCAACAACTCTTGGAGCAGCTCATCCTCTGACTGTCTCTGAGCACCGGCACATTCACGAGCCAACTGGCCCCGCAACGGGTGCACAAAGCGTTCGCTGGGGACGTTTTGACGCTCAAAAATACCCTTATGCACTTCCATCAGGTAGCCCAGCTCAAGCAAAGCTAACAGACGGGGTGGGTAGGTATACCTGGCGCGAGGCGCAGAGTTTAGGGCTGCCTGGTGACCATCTCGCCAAGAGCGACGAGTTTCACCTGACGGCATGTCTGCTGTAAACGCACGCGCTTCAGACACAGACGCTCCCCCCTCCAGCAGGGATGCCGGCACAAGGTGAGCAAAGTAATACTTCCGATCCATCCACATGTTGACACCGCCAGCAGGATCCGCACACGCAAACAGCACGTCGGATTTTGCAAGTTGGCGCAAGACAGCAGTGGCAGACCCGTCTTCGTGCATCTGCCGGGTGATACGGCCCTTTCGTGTAGGGTCAATACGCAGCGTGCGTGACCTAGAAGCGGAAGAAAACAACCCTTTCTCAACCTCATTCGAAACACCAAGTTCCAACAGTGCCTCAACGTCCATGTCATTGTGGTAATCAGCATATGAGACTGGAACATCCTGGCGGTGTCGCTCTTGAGCCTCCACGTATTCATCCCAGAACATGTTGCAAACATATTCTCTGGTGGGGTCACACTGCGACCAGTCAGGAGTGCAATCAAACAACATCTCATTGTCCAACAGGAATTGAAGATAGTCCTCCTCATGACGATTGGCGTGGCCCTTGACGGCCAGATAGGGCAAGACTCAACTGGCATACGGTGCTCCGGACGGTGCATCAGCTGAAAGACACCCGCGTTGACTTCAACCAACACTCCCAAATCCAACAGAGCCTGAACATGCGGTGGGTTTTGATACCCTTCGTACCTTGACCCACTTGTCACTATGCCTCTGACGTTCAGTGCATCACGCCATGTGCCACTCGCTTGAGCTTGCCAGATCTCACTGGGCCAAGCACACTTAGTAGACGCAACAGGCGTGTCACCGAACTCGGAGTCAGTCGCCTCACTTGCAACAGTCTCATCATCCTCCTCTGACGGAACATCAGCTGAAACAGTCACATCATCAGCCAAACCACCAGCTGCGACAGTCGGAACAGACCCAGAAGCCCTCAACTCCGGCCATGCTGCATCACGTTCGAGGTCAGTATCAAGGCGCTCATGCACGACCGCGTCGTTGAACACCTCGTTTCCTTGAGCGAACAGCTCCCGGTCTCGGACCAGACGTGTGAAAATCGTAATCTGTGTTCTGCGCTTGTATGCTTGAAGTGTCAGGTCGTTCAAATCCGGGTGCACAGTCCATCTGGTGCGGTCTGTGCGCCTCATGAAAACGCCCTGCTCGAGTTCCTCCAAGTATCCAAGTTGAAGGAGCACACCAAGCCAGACAGGATACCCGTAAAATGGGGCAGGCCTTTGAACCTCAGTGACCACGGCCCTACCTGCTAAGGTGAGGTCCACTGGCACAGGGTCGTCGCCCCCCAGTGTTGCTCTAGCGGCTGGTCCGGCGACTGCAGCATGGGACCCAACAACTGTAGACGCGTATGTTGACTGCGCCAAGTACAGGGCCCTGAGGTCCGCTCCACCATCGCCTGCAATGTAAGCAGGACCGTGAGCATGCACGATGCGCTCGAGTGCAGACCAATTGAAGACACGTTGTACCCTCGATGAGCTACCCTCTCGAAAGTAGAATGCGCCTTCCACGAAGTTCCCTGACTCCGGTGTGTGTATGACGCGACGATACCAGTGAATCCCAGCCGGCAATTTGCGCCAAGCTGTCGCGTTGGCAACAGCGCGACCTGCTCTGTCCACAGTGTATCCGCCCCAAGCATGTGTAGCCTGCCAGACCCGTGATCTACAGAAGTACATACCAGGCGTTTCTTTTTGTTCATCCCATCTGTCAGGGATGCCATTCATCACAACTTGCTGTGCGACCTGAATGCGTTGGGTGTCTGGTGCCTTGCTACCTCGTAGCTCAGATACCACAGCCTTTTGAACCACAACTGGGGTCTCCTTGACCTCAGCTCGGGTTTGAACTCGCGCCTCAGCACGCTTAGCTGACGGGTTCTCACACTTTTGGACTGACCTGGCGGTGTCTCAACGGCCGGGGTCCGAGTCTCACCTAGTGTTGACGAACCTGGTAACTCCGGCTGCACGCGCTGGTCTCCTCCCGTCGTGACAGCAGGGTTCCGCAGTGGGGCTGCCTGGGGTGTCGTGAACCCAGGTGGCGTCACTGGGGCCGGTACTGTCGCTGCTGCTAGCCCAGGCACGCGTGGTGGCTGGGGCGCTGCGACGGCCCTTGGAATGGCGGCTGCAAGCAGTCCGCCCGCTCGAATGAAGACTCGTCCCTGCTTGAACACTTGCGCCAGATTGGCCAGAGTTGACTTCGCCAAGTCGTCTCGGCCCCGCGCTGGTTCCATTGCCCTCTTCTCCCGTTCTGCATCCAAGCGGCGTGCGCTGGCCAATGCAGCATCTGCAGGGCGCACAAAGATATTGCGCATGGTCAGGAATCCGGCCATGTCACAATTGCGCAGGGTCCAGGCCAAGTGTTTCAAAAAGAACTTGCAGTCATGTATGATGCTTTCATTGCGTGCAACATGAGTGGACGGATTGTACACCTCAAAAAGAACGTGCCTTCGTCTCTCTGCTGG